TGGAATTTAATATTTCAAAAATTACGATCTATAATATAATATATAAATCAAATTAATATTAAATTATTATTTACAAAAAAAATATATCATATTTTGAAAAAAAAACATATTTGTAAATATAAGACTCATAATTTTAATAAGTAAATATAGTAATATATATGTAATATATGCATAAAAAATATTCATATTCATATGTATATATGAGATTCTATTATTATATGTTTCTATGAAGAGATCTTTTTAACAATTTATTGAAATTATTTATATATTTCAATAAATGACAAAAAAATAAGAATAAAAATTATATATAATAAAATTTTATTTTTATATATTTATTGCATATATTTTTATTATATGTATTATTTTCGACAATATATATACAAAGAACAGTTAATTCTTCATAAAAATATATTTTTTTATCTAACGTAAAAAACAGGTGACGTTGACTTATTGTCAGCTAAAAATCATTTAACCAACAAATGGCTGACATTTTACATGTGAATATTTTAATGTAGAATATGATGCAATTGTTTAATGACATATAAATAAATCATAGAAAACAATTAAAAGAATGACAATTGAGAAATGTAAAATATATCTAATTCATATTATTCAAATTCATTTCAGTATATCTTTATTCAACTTAAGACGACATGAACACCCACCTCAAAAGACAAGCTTCCTTGTTTTACTGTATATAAACAACAATATTAAATACACTTAATATAATAATTATTAATAATAAGTTAATGAAAAGTTCGATATTAACTCGCGCACTCACATGTATGCCGGCAATTCTCTGATATAAGCTAATGTTTTTGAGAAAGACGTTCTTTCGAGAAGGTACCACTGGTAACTGGTTCCTTCTTCGCGAAGTTTCGAATAGCTGAAATTTGCAGAGTAAATCGATTGTTATGGCCTGCAATACTGACCGACAACTAAATAAGAAACTGTAGAAAATTCCCTAGAAAACATTGCAAATTTTTGTATCACTAGTTGAATTCTATCGTAAAATTAATATTTGCAAATATACATATTGATATTTCACATGTAAAATAAATGATAATGAAATTAAATGTGAATTAGATATATTATTTTTTAAAAGATGAATTTGGAGTTTAAACATTTTTAAAGATTGTATAATTGTATTTGCATTATACATTTTGTGATAAAAAAAGTAAAAAAAACAGTGAGAAATATTTATTATTAATGGTGATAATTATCATAAAAAAGTTATGATATACATTTGTCATAAAGATAATTTGCTTTAACTGAGATTTCAATTGGCTATCCTGTAAATATAAATATTATACAAAAAAATATAATATATATTTTATTGTTAAAAACTAAATGTGACATATCTTTGTTTTTATTATTTACAATTACTTTTATATATGATGTATAATACATATTTAAATACGTTTAAATATTATTTTATAAATAAAGTAAAATTATATACTCATTGTGTTATACAAATACTAAATTCAAAGTTCTAAGGATAAACTTAAATCCTACCAATGACATTTCAGACTAATGCTGTTTGATAGCACATGTATAACCTTTTTGAATTAGATCTTGAATTAGAACGTAACAAATTATATTATATTAAATTGATTTTAGATTCTTTTTCGGAAAGTAAAAACTAAATAATATTGATATTACAATTAACAAAAAAAAATAATAAATTTAACATAAATTAATCTATAGCAAATATTTCTATGCTTATTTATTTTAACGTAAAATGAACGTCATTTGCTCTATATGTAGCGAACAGTTAATACAATCAGATGATATTTTTTATACAAGATGTGGACATGTATTTCATTTGCATTGTTTAACACAATGGCTTGAAAGGTAAATAAATATTAAAAAATAACAAAACATCTTGTTAAAAAATGTGAAAATTTAGCTCATAGCATGTATCAATTCAATTTCTAATTCATTTCTTTTTCAAAATATATGATTATAATTATATAATTATGATTATAATTTATTTTCAGGTCAAAAAGCTGTCCACAATGTAGAGAGAAAGTTACACAAAGTAAAATACATAGGCTCTATTTCACATTTCCAAGTAATGAAGTAGTTGAATCTCAAGGTTCTACATTACAAGAGAAAGTGGATAACTTAAAATTTCAAATTTTGTTAAAAGAAAAAGACATTCAATATTATTCTTCAAAAAATGTTACTTTAGAAAAACAAAATGCTGGTTTAAAACAAGAAGTTCGAAAAGTAGAAAGTGAAATTAACAAAAAAAATGCAGCAATACATGCTTTGAAAGAACAAATTAATTATTTTAAAGAACAAAGTTCACACTGTGATAATTTAAAAAAAGAAATTATTCAATTAAAAAATAAGATTGAAGATCTTAAACCGTACGTAATTATCATATATACATATATATTTTACATTACATTTTTATGTGTATTTATTGTATATTTACATTTTTTGTGTATTTTAGAATACAGGTATTATTACATGCACCTATTAGTGATGTTAGTAAAATGGTTGGAAAAACTAAAGATCCCGAAACACTTACTATGTATATTTCTATTATGAAAAAGTTAGTAATATATAATATATTTAAAACAATCTATAACATATTCAAAAAAATTATATAATCATCATCAATATAATAATTTTTACAGAGAATTAATTGGAAGATTTAATAAATGTAAACAATTACGCATGAGTATTAAAAAGCTTCAAGAAAAACTTTCTAAAGTTAATATGAAAAATGATACATCATTAGAAGAACAGTCAAAACAAATGTAAGATATTTATTAAGTAATATCTATAGATTAAAAATTTTAAATTATAATTTGAATATTTTATATACATTATATATATTTTAGGGATTTCGAAGAAAAATTAGCATTTTCAGAAAGCAAAAATATGGCATTACAAAAACGGGTTGATGAATTAGAAGAGATACTTGGTATTAATGATAAATATAGTAATGAATTAGAAATTAAAAAATCAGAAAATAAGAATAATATCTCTAAAGAAAACTTGACTGAAAGTTCATCAAAAAAAAGTAATCAAAATATATCAAGTACAAGTTCTTTATTAAGTTGCACAAAACAAAAAATTGAAAAGGTCTGAAATTAAATATGAAAAATATTCCTAAAAAAAATTAAAAGCAATAATTGATTATATTTATCTTATATTTTATTTACAGACATTTGTGTACGATATTAAACATGAACAAGAAAAGATATATGATTCTCCAATAAAAAATGATACAAGTGATTCGGAAATAGATTTTATAGATTGTAGTTCTTCTAACAATTCTCCAATAGTTTCTAAAAAATTTAAATTATCAGAAAATGACATAGAAGAAACTTTAAATAAAAATGATAATAATACATTCTCAAATTCTTCTATATCAAAGAAAAAAAGAAAACAAAATATCAAAAAAAAAATATCTGATACTGAATACAAGCATGATAGTCATGTGGTTGATTTAACTTGAAGAGTTCCTAAATATGATATAATAGTTTTTTTTTTTTGTATAAATGATTATTTATATTTTAAGAACATATATAATATTTTCATTGTAATTAATCTTTGTGTTTTTAACAAATAAAATATTCTACTTTCATAGTTTTTTTATCTTGATTATTTTATATAATATAAAAAAATAATATTAAAATATTTTAATTCAAAATAATATTTTAAAATAATATCCTATTAATATTTAATATTTTCCTATTTTGCAATAGGAAAAGCAGTTGCAATAAATTTTAAACCATTATTTTGCAACATATATGTTTGAATATCAAATTTAATTCCCGCAAAAGATAATTTACATCTTTTATTTGGTCTTGTAAAAAAACAGAGTGTATAAAGTGCTATTTCCAATTCTGGAGGTGTTCCAATAAACATACTTGATTTTTTATGTTTTCCAATATAAGTAAAATATACTTCTAAGATGATTGCTTTCTAAAAAAAATCATTTTAAAATGATTTAACAAATATTATTATATATATTTATAATTTTACTTACATTAACAATTTTTTTACTATTGGCAAATCCAAAATAATTAATTTTATTTGATGATTCTCCATAGAAAAAGAAAATCCAATTATGAAGTCCTATAATATTTTTATGCGATTTTCTTTCTCCTATAAATACATGTTCAAATCCAGAACTATCATTTATTCCTTTACTTCGAGGATATAAATGAAACCATATTTGCTTTAAAATGTTTTTATGAATGTACATGTCATTTTTAAAAAAACCTTTAGATGATAAAAAATGCATGACATATAACATTATATCTGTTTTCATTAAATTGTTAATAAATTCATTTTCTTCTAGATCTTCTTCCTTTGTTACAATTTCTGGTTGATAAGTATCTAATTCATAATTATCAAATAATTTTATAAAAGATTTTATTGTTAATATTGAAAAAATATTAAATGATATATTTAACAACCTAAAGTTAAATAATATATATATTTAAAATCCAATTAACTTTTAAATTAAAGTTAATAATAAAATTTTTACCTTTCAGAAGCATTATCAGTAAAATTATTAAAACATATTTGTTTTTGATAATTTATGTGCACATAATTAAATAAATTAGGAGATTTTTTAAATAATTCTTCTGATACTCTTATTAATTCCATATCACTTACTATAGACATATTTTTAATATTATTGATATCTGAGATAAATAAATATATTAAATAAAAATCATAACTTTTTATAAAATAATTTTATTTTTAATTTAATTTTTTTAATTACCATTAATTTGATGATTTGTAAAAGAATATATATTCACAATATTTAATATAATTAGAATGTAAACTTGAAAAATTGTAATTAACATTTTTTTAAAATAGATTTTAAAAATAAATAATAGATAATAATTCAATAAATAATAGATATTATAGGTTATGTCAATTATTTTCCTACTTAAAAAATTTATATTATATGATGTAATCCTAATGTAATTATAAATACAATGATTATGAATTAAAAAATTATTAACATTTATAAAAATTTTTGAATTAAAGTTTTGAATTAAAATAATTAATAATTTTATAATATATTTTATTATAATATATTTTATAATATATTTTTATGTTCTATCCATAGATTATTATTAAAAAAATTTTAAATAAATAAAAAAAATATGATAAAATATATTAATTTAAAAAAAAGACTTATTTTACAATAATAAAATTCGTTTGAATGTATATATTTTTGTATTATCTATATATTTTTATCTTCATAAAATTAAAAAATTTAATGATTAATATATATATATTATATAATAAAAAATATATATATATTATAATATATATAATATATATATATATATATATATATATACATGTCGAAGATATCAAATACGAATTTTGTTTACAAATGGTTGCCATTTATCTATAGCATATAGTATTTTTCTTAATCATAAAAATGTCAACTCGAATGGAATATATTATTTCATCTTGGGAAATTGAGTCATTTATAGATAATTTACAAATATCTGATCTTGAAAATATTGGAACAAAAGGGTTAATTTTTTTTTTTTAAAACCTTTCTTTAAACATTAAAATCTTATTTGAATGTATAAAAATGTACAATATAATGCATCCAATATAATCTGAATGCTCTTTTCAGATGGTTTGAATTTCATAAAAGATTGATGTTATTAAATGAACAAAGTGTATTAGAAATTAGCGCCTTGCGAGAAGAAAGTACAAAGGAATGGTTTGTTTCTCTTGGGAAGGTAAATAAAATATTTTTTATATAACAATTTCTTAATTTAATATTTCTTTCCCTATATAGATTCCTATTCTTATATATGAAGCTATACAAATTGATATATGGAAACATAAGGTATTTCCACTTTTGATAGAAATGAATGAAGAACCAAAAAATACTTTTATGCTATTCACAATATTTTATCATGAAGATATTGCAGTTTCTTTATTAGAAAATGTATTATTTCACTGTGAAAGTGCAGAAACTTTGAATGATTCTATTCTTGATCTTGTTGATTATGCTGTTAAATCTGTATCTCTACTCATCGATGTATCGAATATTGAAATATATGAAAATGTAAAAGACCCAAAGTAAGTTATTATTAAAACTTTATATAATTTTAGTAAAAAAATTATTAAATTGAATTAAATAATAATATTAATATTTATTGTAATTAGTTCATGTCTTGAAGAAATTTTTGAAAAAAAGAAAGAATTTGAATTTGACATTGGTATACGTTGCATTTCAATTCTTCGTTACTTGGCTGAATTTGCAGATAAATTACCATTATATGTATTATCGCGATTATTAACTACACATGATGTACCCTACTTGCTTGTTGAACTCATTGAGAAACATCCATGGACAAAAAAAAATGCAGAAGGTAACTATCATTCTATGAATATAAAAAAATATAATATAAATTACAATAAAATTGCTTGTTATTAAGGGGAAAATATGATATATAATGGTGGGTGGAGAAAATCAAAATCAAATGAAGAGGAAAAGATTTCTAAGATAGAAGGACAAATTTGGTTAGGTTTGCGAGAATTATTACTTAATCCAAAAAGTGCATCTTATTATGAAATTACTGAACATAGATTCTTTAAATTATTAAAGGTATTTTAATTTTCTTTAAATTATTAAAAATATTTTACCATTACAAACTATATTATATATTTAAGATTGTATATGTATATTGCATAAAATAATATATATTTACATAAAAAAAAATTTGTTTTAGTTACAGAAATATTTGCATGAATGTGTAATAGATCAAATTTCTCCTTTAATGGATTTAAAACGATGGTTAAATTATTTAAATGTATCATCACCTAATACTAATACATCACGAGCAGTAAATGTGGAACTTATACCACAGGTTAAAAATTATCATGATAAAAATATATTTAGAGTTAGTTACAGTATTAATTAAACAATTATGTTTTTAGATAAGATCATCAATAATGGAAAAATATCATAAAAAGTGGAAAAAATTAGCAAAAAATCAATCAAAATTTATATACACAACAGATGCTGATTATATAAAAAATGCAGCACAAATCTTAAGTGATGCATATGATTTAGATAAACTAGATTGTATTGACATTAAAGAATGTTTTTTATGTCATGAAGAAGCAAAAAAACGGTGTTCTAAATGTAAAGAAGCTTGGTATTGTGGAAGGTATAAATTTTTTCAATTATTACATTCATACATTAGGTTGTTGCAGATTTCAAAAATATGTAAATTTTCAATATTTTCAATATTTATATTAATGAATATTCTTATTAAATAATATGTTATATTATCAAAAAACTTAAAAAAAAATTGTTTTACTATTTTTGAAAATAGTTGAATATAATTTGATTTACATTTTATTTATTTATTAAAATTGAAAATTTTAATAAATAATTTTATTTTTTAATTTATTTATTAAAAAATAAAAATTGAATTATAATAATTTAAGCTTCAATTTAAGCATATTTCTTTTACAGAGATTTATAATTTAATGCATAAAAATTTTTGATATTAATAAAACTTTCAAAATAGTTACATTAAAAAAATAAATGATTCTTGATATGAAAATTTTAAATTAATATCAAAAATAAATCTTTAGACTTATTATATATAACAAGAAAAAGAATTTAATTGTAATAATTCTATTTTATAATGAACATAATTTATTAAATCAAAATTTGATTAATATTACTTTTAATAGAATTATAAATGTTAATAACTTTATTAAAAATTTGACTATTTCATTTGCAACAATCTATTAATATAAAGTACTATTATTTTTCGATCAAACAATTATTATTGAATCATTACAGGGAATGTCAAATAAAAGATTGGATTAAACATAAAAATATTTGCGACAAAATAACAAAAAATATAGAAAATAAATAAAAGGTTTAATTCTAAAACTATTTCCAGAAAAAAAATTTTATCATCTTTTCTATTATTTTGTCTTCAGTGATTAAATTAAATAAATTAAAAATTATTCATGAATAGATTTTAGTTGATTTTTCTATTACAATACAAAATTTAAAAATACTTAGGATTAAATTAATTATACGTACGATTTTATGTCCAATATTTTATTAAAAGATATTAGTGTACAGAACTTTGTTTGACATATTCCATTACAACATCTTTTGCAGGAGTATCTTCTCCAAAGTCCTAAAAGTAAAAAAACAATTCTTTAATTGAAAAAAATTCAATGATTAATAAAAATTGTTAAAAAATCAATATTAAATTACTAAAATCAGAAAGGCATTAACACAGCATAGTTTTTATTAATTATATGGGTTCTCTCAGTAGAGGGAGCCTTGTTTTCATCATAAAATCTCATATAACTTATAATTTGAGTTAAAAAAAAATTTTAATTTTGTATTTTATATAATTTATACCTTTATAACAACACAGGAGCACCCAACAACTTTTCGAGCTTTACCAGCACTGTCAATTTTACAAAGACCAGCCCATTCACCAAGTTTTTTATTATTGTCTACTCTGATTAAAGGAATTTGATGTTCATTACATAATGCTTGTACTAATTTTTTATACATAGGCTCATCACAATTTTCAGCTAAAATACATAGCATAGCTTGTCTCCTAAAATATAATATATAAAGTAAATATAAATAAATTTGATGTTTAAATTATCAATTGAGAAATAATTATTTAATAAATCAGATAAGATGTTCATGACAGCATTATTAATTTTTATAACGGGTATTTCTCAGAAGAGGGAACCTAATATTTCATCATATGAAAATAATATATATTAGGTTTTACAAAAATATACAAAATGACATATAATAAACTCACTTGTCTAATGCTTTGGCAGCTTCATGAAGACCATGTACAACACCATCGTGAATCAATGCATTTTTAAGAACTTCTTGAAGGGCTGTGTTGACATCCATTGCACCTCCTGCTGCCATTGCAGAAGGTACATCATCACTAAAAATAAAATAATAATTAGATTCTATTTATTTCAAATTTACTTCATTCATTATTTTAAATTTTTTATATAAAAATATGATTGCATTATTATTCTATTTTTGCATAGTATTATAAGAGGTTAAATTTTATATAAATTTTGAAACTCAAACAATTTTTAATAAAGACAATAAATATTACATAAAGTTTTAATGTAATACTTTCATAATAAAAAAAATGTATTAATATTTTATTTTTATAAGAGATATATAAAACATACTTACTTTTCAACGTCTGACATATTTTTTACGGACTGAAGAACTAAAATAATATAATAATGTTAGTAATTTTATTTTTGAGTTCATATTTTAAAATATTTTCACATAAAAATTATAATGATGATATTATAATAAACTGATATTCTATACATCGCTTCACAGCGTGCTTTCATTTACCTTTTCTTATGAAGAAAGAGAAATGGCGCTTAATTCAACATACGATATTTAGGTTATGTCAATGTTAACTTTGATTGGCTAAGAATTTAATGTAAGTGACATCTACAAAATATTTAAAAAATTCATAATTTATGTATTTTTAATTCTTAATGATATAAATTTTATTTCAAATACAAGATATAAAATAGACATAATATGCAAATTTAAATAATATTTAAATAATAAATAATGTACAAAATAAATTTAATATTTAATTACATTTTTATTTGCATGTCTTAAAAGTTTTAAAATCTTAACCATTTTAATGTTATACTCAATATTACTTTACTTATAATTATTTATAATTTTTAAATAAGATTACAGATTAAGAAAAAATATATAATGATATTTTTGTTATATCTTTTAAAATACTAAACTCTAAATATAGAGAATGAAATCATCGGCATTTATCTCATCAAAGAGTAAATTTTAATCTAGTATTACCTATTCACTGTAGATGGCGCATGGATGTCTATAAATATCTATAATAGATTATTATCTATTGTAAATCTTCATATAAGAGTTATTAATTATTTATAAATAAGAAGCACATTATAACAGATAAGCACATTATAACAAATAAGAAGAACATTATAAATATAAGCAAACTACTAGTAGTATTTATTTAGTAGTATATAGACAAAATTAATTTCAAACTAATATTTTTTTCATACTAACTCTTAAAAATTTAATCTAAAAAAATCGAAATTTTATCATAAAATCAAAAAATTTATCATAAAATCAAAAAATTTGAATTTTTCTATTTGTCTATCAAAAGAATGATATTATAATAATAATAATTAAAATATTTTCTGAAAATTTAATGAATTAGAATTAATGAAGAACTAATTTTCTTATTATATTTATTATATTAAATGTCTTAGTAATAATTATTATTAAATAAATTAATAATTAATAAATAATTATTAAATAAAAAAATTATGTTTAAAGACTGTACATTGTAATTACAATGTACAAAAAGTACTTATAAATTCTATTTAAAATGTTTACAGAAACAATTATTACTATTACTATTATTTTTTAGACACTTCTATGTATTTTTTACATAGATATAAATTCTTATATCTAACTTAAATAATAAAAAATTGATAATATTTAATTTATTTATATATACAATAATTTTATTCTTATCAAGAAATATATAATTACTTAGTTTATCTATTTTTATTTTATATTTGAATATTTTCTTTATATATTACATTTAACATTATGTATATACTATAATAAACTTACCATTTATTAATCATTATTAGACTGTAATTATCAAATTTATACAATCTTCTTCAATTATTTTAAAAATTATCTATTCCCTTAAAACAATAATTTTACAATTATGTATGTAATATTAATAGATAATATAATCATTAAAAAAATTATTCACATTATTAAAAACGAAAAACAATAAATTCTTTATGTTACGCTGGTGGGGAATATCTGTGATAAGGCCAACAATAATGTGATGGATGTGGCGGAGGCGCTGGAGGCGGTGGAGGTGCTGATACTGATGAACTCGATGGTCCTGTTGGATATAAGTGATGATTATGATGAGAATGATGAGGATGACAATTTGCGCCTGTACCTCGCGACGATGGAGACATTTCCAATGTAATACCGGCTTGCGTCTGACAGGCCATCATCAATCCATGAAAGTCAAATTTGTACGCGTATCGTTTTCCATGTACTTTTGTCATGATATTTTTGTCGTAGTAATATCTGTATCATTAAAAAACAAAATTAATAAGATATATAATTAATAAGATATATAATTATTGATTAAATTAACAAAATATTACTTATTATATTAAAAAAATGATAAAAGATTATTTATAGTAAATTATTTAAGGTAGATATCTTTTAAATTTTTTAAAATTTATTGAATGATAAAAAAGATTAATGATTAATATTTGAATTAAAATTATGAAACTGAATAATATTTTTAATTGTAATCTAAATAGAAATAATAAAAAATATTATAATTAATAATTATGAATAATATTAAAAATTTGAACTGTTTTTATTGTATTAAATATTCTTTAAATTTATATTGATTATTTTTGTTTATTCTTGTTTATTTATCTATTTATGATAAATATCTATATTTAATTTGCGTACAATGTATTATTATTTTATATATTATACTTTATCTTTAATTAATTAATAATATAATTTCGTGCTATGTTTAATTTAACAGGTATTTAATTTGATGAGTCATTCACTACCTATAATACAATTATAAAGTCAATGAAAATTTTATATTGAAATTGATGATAATAAATATTTATATTAATTTATACTATAATAAATTATTAAATTTTCAATCAATATTAAATATATCAAATATATCATTCATATCAAATAAATATATATATATAATTGGCAATAAATGAATTTATTAATAAAATTTTATTATTAATACATATTAATTAATTAATTAATTTGAATAATAATTCAAAATTAAAATTTACTTAACTGTAAATATATTGCTTTCATTTTGTTATTTGTTTATAATTATAAAATACACTTGAGTATCAATAATATAAATATTATCATTATATTAAAATAATTTATTATTTCGTGGTTTTAATTTTTTTTTTAATTGAAAAAGAAATTAATTTTTTTTTATTAAAACAATATTAAAACTATTTTATTTATTGAAAATAATAAAATGAAAATGATTATACTATTTAAATTT